AACCAGTGCAAGGGCTGACTGAGAACATAGTTAACATAAATAATACCCCAAATTCAAACACTAGTGCAGGAACTATTATTTATCATTTCTGTGGTTTTATTTGCAAGACCTTTGATTGCTTTTGGTATTAAAACATGTGATATCAAAGTTCAAATGACAAAAGGAGTTGAAAGGTTTTCAGGTTTTGGAAATGCTTCTTGTAAACAACAAATCCTATGATCTTTAGTTGAGAATATTACAATAGTCTACTTCTGCTTCTGATAAAACAAATATCTAACTTTAATGCTTACAGCTTGACGAAAAAGTGACCAATAGTTATCAACACAATTCCTCCATCCTCTGTGCCTTGTGGGAAGTCCCAATTTGTTTAAGAGAATCTCACGTTGTACATTTTTAATACCGTTGTAAAAGTTGTATTTATTTTAAACTGTATTGTTGTAATATTTTTTGCTTTTAGATGCATTTTGTTGTGTCTAACATTTCACAACCAAATGGTTTACCCTTTAATTGTTCAGTGCCAGCTTGTGAGGCAACACTGCAATACACCTTTGAGGTCAATTGTTCACAAGATCATAGAGTGCAACCATAAGCACCAAACATACTAAGTTAAGTAATATGTAAATGATTAGACTAACTGAATTTTTGACTGTCTTTCCAACACAGAGACAAAGTATACGCCTTTTTCTCTTTTCTATGAGAACCCATCGCTCTTATGTTCTTTGTAAAGTACCATAAGATTGATGTCCACACATCTCTGCAAGTTGACTTGATTTTCAGTCACTGAAAAACTCCTGAAACAAGTCTTTAGATGAGGCTAGACGTCCTTGCTGAATAACTGTCTGATGGATCGCCACATGGAGAAAGCCATTCATACCAATGCTCATTAATGCTGTTGCCTCATGAGGAAACCAATGGCTGCAGCTTGATCACAACGCACTGACGGTTGATGAAAGGCTGCTTCCAGGCTAACTTCTGTTGCTTAGTTTGGACAGATCTATGTGGGGACAAACCCTGAGAGCTTGTCCATTATATAATACAGTACACATAACTGTTATACAACACAAAAACAGACTGTGTAATGTTTACTTCAAATCACAAAGATCTTTAACCTTCAACATTGTGGATAACTCAAAACCATCAGGATGTGCCATAGGTATGTGCATCACTCTGAGGGCCAATTAAAAAAAATACAACATTTGGTGAAAACCCGACATATTCAAATTGAAGTAAAAATAATCTGTTATTTAGCTTTTCATTTTTTCCTCCTACATTTAAAGTGATGGGAGGCAAAGGAGAGTAGTAACTGGCTAACCATTTAATGGCAATGGGATTTTAAGCACCACTAGTCTGAGGCATCAATGTTTCGACAGTGTCTGATCATGGAGTTCATCACCTTGTGAATTAATTTTCCCTTGATCCTAAAAATCAGGATTGACCATTGCTGCCATAACAGCAAACTGTGTGCTGCCTCCCTGCAGGGTGACATTGGGCCATTGACTACAGCAGTACATCTGAAGCACCTCAGCTCATTTTACCAAGGCTTCAAACCTTATACACGAGTTTGATTTCTTTAAGCCAAATCAAGACAGCAGATTTTCAAGGAACTGCATTTATTTCAACATCGTAAACAAGTACAAAATTCACCATTCTCTGTAGACATTTGCAACAGTAGTTCACAAAGGCTCCATTCCAAGAGCAGAAGCAGGCTGAGGTTCTTCACTGACAGCAACTTGTGTCACAAGTCTTCCCTTTGCACACGCAGCCAGAGGCGCATTTGGTGCAGCCGGATGGGCAGCATGGGCAGCAGCCTGCAATACAAAATAAAAAATATGTGTTAAGTGACAGAACAGCAAAAAGTAATATTTAGTCCAGGGCATACACTACAGAAAGCTGCCCACTAAATCCAGGACATTAACCTATTGGTGCCCCAAGACTATATTTTATTTATAATGAAAAACAAAGACGCCACATCTGATCCACTGGTCTAAAGCTTGAAATCTGGGCATTTATCCAACATTACATTTTTAAATCAAATGGCAAATCCCTATGGGAAAATGTACTAATAAAAAAGGGTCAATTCCTTTTTACACTGCATGTGGGTATATTGAGAGTTAAAGCAGATACTAGATATGGTACAGCCTGTTCTTTCCATACTATAGTTAGTCTTTTGCCACATACAGAACAGCCGTCCATTTAAAAAGAATACATCTGAAAATTGAGCATTAACACTTTTAGATTGCAGCTCATTATCCCAATAGGAGCCACCTGGGCAGTTGCTCACAGCAATTAAAACAAGATCTGGGATACCAGATACAGACTACAAAACCCCCAAAAAGCAAGTGATGAAATATAATGAAACCGTACATCACTGACATGTTACCTTTTGGGCTGTATATAGCTGCTAAGATAATATAACATCGTGAAAAGAGTGTGAGGTTAGGCCATATTGCATCCAACCGTCTCCATCACTATGAAGGGTGAATAGTATTTATATTTCAATAAATCCCTCCCCACGTGTAGAGTTATTGGACTTACTCTTCTTGCAGCTGGTGCAGGAGCAGTTTGTGCAAGTGCAGGATCCTCCGCAGTTGCAGGTCCCACCTGGAAAACCAAGTCATCTTTATACTGTATCGTCCAGGCAGATATCATACTATTTTTAACGACTAATGTCAAGGCGTAACCGTAAACAACACTTACTTTTGGAGCAGTCGCAGGGGTCCATGTTCTCAGATGATCTCTCTTGTCCTCGTGAGTAGGTGCAGTGTATCTGGTCTCAGATGAGAGCTTGTTGTGAGCTCAGGAAGATGGGCGGTGTTTTTAAAGCCTTCTGGGAACAACAGAACCGGGTGCAAATGCGTCTGTCACGCTGCACACAGGCACGTAGTAGATGATTACAAAGACGTTTGTGCACACGACTTCATGATGAGACATTCAGAGCAGGAGGAATGTCTCTGCTCCCGAGACGGCGTTTTGTCTGAACCTTACATAAGACCCCATTTCCCCCCCTTGAAACACTAAACCTCGGAATAATTAATGTGTTTACAAACGAAGAAAAACATCAGTGGTTATATGGCAGTAGAACACAGGTAACAAAAGTTCATCACGGGTCTATTTTATTTTCAGAGAGTCCTTTGGGACCCTAATAACATCCGTGTCTCCCATTGTATCATTCCCTAACGTGTTCTGTCAGTAGTGATAAACGGAGCCTATTGTTTTGGAAGAAAAAAGGCAATTGTATTTTGGAAAACATTTCGGTATGCGCACATCTCTTAATTAATACACTCATGTCAGTCATGCGCTCAGTTTGCACACGGATACGCTAAATCAAAGGTCAAATGAATGCGGATGAGTGCCTAGTCAGGATGCGATATGCTGTCATCAACATTGCATTTATGTAACCATTGAACATGTTTTTAAGTTGCGTTCTTTGACAATAAAAACGCCTATACTGAACTACCTCCCTAAATACATAATAGCCTACATCAGCTATGGCCACTCTTGATCCAGTCCAAAACACATTGTTCTCCTAATTTGTTTTTTTGACCCACATTTAGGGTCTGAACTGCCATAGACACTCTCCTACATTTCACCAATAAGGAATTTTGTGACCCAAAAAAACCTTAAGTGTGTCATGTACTGTATTATTATTTTTAAAATAATTTATTCTACTAAATTCATACAAAAACAAAGAAGTATAATTCATACACACAAAATGAACACAATTAGTAGAAGCGGGAGGGCTGAAGCATAGCTTATTGGAAGTAGCCCTGAATCCTCATTGGCATCAATATAACATTGGCAATATTGCGTCAAAAACGCAAAGAAATTAAGGAGTACAAAGAAGTAAAGACACTAAAGAAAAATAAATAAATAAAAGTTGGGCAAGAAAAAAATAAATGCATATATATAGGACAAACTAGATAAAAAATAAATGCATATAGGACAAACTAGATATGGGGTATTTTTTCGCACATGTCAATAGCAGTTTCAACTACCATTTTAGAAACAGAAAATACTATATATAAATACTAGAAACAGAAAATACTATATATAAATACATATGTACACATGTATAAAAAACAAATGAATAATGATAATAATAATAATGTATGCATATAAACATTATGAACACTTATTTTTATATTGTGCATAATCAGTACTGTTTTAAGCTTTACTATGTCTATACATTTTAATAGATTGAGTTTTTTTAAATATGGGAGTTGTGTGTTCATATTCACCAACAACACAGACTATTCGTAATACCTTTTTTTGGGATGTTATTATTTTTTGTAGATTTGTTGAATATGTGTTTCCCCATATTTCGGAGCAGCAGTAAAGGTAAGGGAGAAATAGACTGTTATAAAGAGTATTTTTCTTCAAGAATGTTCTTAGTATGATACAAAATACCTATTGTTTTTAACAGTTTAGTTTGTACATGATTGATATGGTGCTTCCAGTTGAGTTTTTTGTCAACAAGCAGTCCTAAAAATGTACATGCACCAACTTTTTCTATCTCAGTATTGCAAATCCGTATAATGCAGTCATTTCTACTCTCAGACTTTGTATTGAATAACATGTCATTTGTTTTTGCCACATTAAGGGAACATGTATTAACTGCAAACCAGTTAGTATTTCTAATTCTGCATTCACAATTTTAACAAGATCGCCAAGATTATGATGGGAGCAGAGAATGGTGGTATCATCAATATTGTTTATTTTTATTTCAATAAGAAATTGGTAAAAAGAAAGACGTAATATTCGTTTTGTAATTGTACAGTGTGCAACTTTAAGATTGTAGTTAAACATTATTCTGTAGTGGTTAATGTATTGGAAAATCTGAATTTTGTGGCTGCACTCCTTCAGATATAGATTAAAAAACAACATTTTAGGACCATCAGAGTATACAAATAATAGATGTAACTGCTCCAGTCGGTGTCTGCAATGATATTAACCATTCCCTGACTCTGAGGCAGCTGAATTAAATCAAGCAATAATAATAATAATGTTGTGCAATCATTTTAATCATTTACAAATGTACTGCAACAAGACAACATTTCTTCTGTGAGTTAAGATTCAGGGACAGCCTTTTTTTGTGCCGTTCACAAAGCTGCAACAAATAATTAGCTTCAATATTGACACATTTATGTGATTATTTATTCTATTAACTATTTTGTTAACTATATATCAAATACAGTGAAAAATGTTCATCAAAATATCCTAAGCCAATCACTTTCAATAACTTTGTGTTTTCTACCAATGATCCAATAGTTAACATTTGGAATGTTGTCTTGATAAATTACTAAAATGGTGTATTATAATTGTTGCCAATTCTTTTTTGCTATCTTTAAATCTCAGTTAAGTTTACATGAAAATGACCTTTAGCATAGCGTTTCAGTGATCATTCACAGCCATATTTAATATGTTTGAGAAGTGTACACCAACACACAAGTATCTTACACAGTATTTGTCTGATTAGAGATTATTGCTCTAGAGGTCAATATTTACAACATCTTAAGACTTAAGCTCGCCCCGGACACCAAGGTAAAAAATACAAGCAGAACAAATGCTTGAAAAAATACTAAAACGGTTCATTAGGTCTTTTAATTTATGTAAAAAACAACTTTTAAACAATAACAATGTCTACAACCTCTTAAAAAAAGCGACACATACAAAAAGTTTAAGTCACGTGAAGAGGTTTCTCAATATTGTCCTTTCTATGTACTCAAGATATCCAGTACAGGCTGACATACTTCTGTCTTGCACTGGACATAATACATGGGTCCACTGTTGAAGAGGATCTCCAGAGGATAGCCTGTGTCAGTGTCACTGAGCCTCCTCTACTTGAATTGGTTATCAATGAGGGTGCCCTTCATCATCTTCGCCTTCTTGACGTCCAGTTCCGCCAGCTCCTGCAGCCTCTTCTTGCTCATGCCCTTCCTCTCCAGCTGCTTCTCAATCACCATGGCGTTTTGAGCGTAGGAGTCCGCGATCTCCCTGGCCTCGATCTCCTCCTCCTCTTCGTCGATGGTGGAGACTGTGACGGAGCTGAACTTGCCCATGTCTTTGGTCCTCTTGGTCATCATCACACGGACTTTCTTGGGAGCCTCCGGCTGCTTCTGGCTGTAGACGCTGGTGTTGCCGAAGTTGCCGAACTTCACCACGGCTCCGTCCACGATGAAGGTGGCCGGATGGTTCTTCGCCTGGTGCTGGTAGAAAAGCAGCAGGCCGCACTTGCCGCACTTCTTGCGGTACTGCCTCTCGATGCCATCGGCTCTCTTCAGGTACGCGTTTTCGTCCTGCTCCACGTTGCAGAACTTGTGGGCATGTTTGGCCACATCGATAACCCTGGCTTTGTCCCGGGGTCTCATGGGCAGCTTCTCCAGCTGGCAGTCCAGCACCAGCACCATCTGCCCGCACAGGCAGTAGTAGACATGGAGAGGCTTTTCTCCGTCGTCGTACTCCTCTCGGTCTCTGGTGTCCGAGCACACCACACTTCTCGACACGACTTTCGGCATCTTTACACACTAAAATATGTTAGAAAGCTAGAAGTGTGTAACTAAATGTTGATGTTAAAACGCCATGACGACGAAAACACTGGTTGAAATGTTGCCTTGTTGAATAGGTTGAACACGGATACGAGGAAACATTTCCGGTGTCCGTCACTGTTACTGTTCCTACCCGAAACTTGGGTCATCTTTTTGTTCCGCTGAGCCCTGGGTAAATAAACCATCTGGTTGCGTCATGTCCACATTTCTTACCCCCCGCCACAAATAAATGCATATCACATTCGGGACGTTTGATAGTCCTGGTAAATCTGATGGATTACATTGCAATATAAAATTGGAAAATATCATGTTTACCATCCACTGAGATGAATGTATTAGCTTCAGCTTTTGAGTGTTATGGAGCACATTACATGTCATTTGTTTGACGCATTTATGCAAAGCGATTTCAGTGTGGACAATCCCCACAGGAGCAATTTGTGGTGAAGTGTCTTGCCCAGGGACTCAACGACATGCTGACTGCAGTGGGACTAGAACTTGCTATCCCCTAAATCGAAGTCCAGCACACTATCCACTGAGCTACATCCTCTGTTAGCAGGACTGGTGTGGTCATACTTTGACTTAAACCAAAGGTCAACATTTTCACTTAATCATTGTTGCAACTTGCTCTTCTAGTAAATGGCACTGCTTTATTTTTTAATTAAATGTTTTTGGGAATATAAACTTTTGGCACTTTAGTTTTTTAAGCAGAATCAAGTATTCCTTTTGGCTTGACTTATATATCTTATGAAAAAGGAACAGTTCCCTCAGATGGTAAAATCGGGATTGAACATTAACACAGAACTTCATCTTTGTATTCTGCCTCCATGCGAGGCTGACCTTGGTCAGATGACTTCATACTGCAGCAGCACATCTGAAGCTCAACACCTCAGCTCATTTTACACAAGCTTGGAACCCCCCACACACTGGTTCGTTAAACCAAGACAGCACAATAATATCAAGTAAATTCATTTATTTCGACATTGAAAACAAGTACAAAAAAAGAAATAAATCATTTTCTGAAGACATTCACAACAGTAAATTTAGTCAAGGTATTCATAAGGGCTCCACCCCAAAAGGCAGAAGCGGGCAGAGGTCCTTCACTGACAGCAGCTTGTGTCACAAGTCTTCCCTTTGCACACACAGCCAGAGGCGCATTTGGTGCAGCCGGATGGGCAGCATGGGCAGCAGCCTGCAAGAAGAAGGAAATAGTGTTTGTGTCAGCCCAGTAGTTAAGTCATCTTAAGTCTGAGGAAGAAAAAACCCTCAGGCAGCTGTCACCTTTATCCAGTTAGCTAATATACCAAATACTCCTTAGGTTCTACAGCCTTTCAATGCCACAGTTGAACTTTATGCACATGGAATGCCAGCGTACTAAAAATGTTAAGAAACTGTAGTTTCATGTGGTTAAACTAGTAGTATGATAATAAAAACTGCTTCTGAGCCAAAGACAATAGCTAACATTCGGTCAACTTTGAATAGCATCTCATTAGCCAAATAGGAGCCACCTGGGCAGTTGCCTTAAGCAAAAAAGGTTATACCGGATACAAACGTGTACATTCAGCATCAACTATAATCATAAAGGAAACATAACATCGTAAAAAACATTGAAGAGGACCAATTGCACCCAATAGGCACTCTGAGGGACAATATAATGCAAATATATTACTCTTGTTATGTAATCGATTTATGGATGTGTTGACTTACTCTTCTTGCAGCTTTTGCAGGAGCAGTTTGTGCAAGTGCAGGATCCTCCGCAGTTGCAGGTCCCACCTGGAAAAAAAAATAAAGCCTGGTTAGCTTCATATCGTCCAGTAGACAAAGAAAAACATTAACGTTTCAGCTGATACAAACGTTAACACCGTAAACAACACTTACTCTTGGAGCAGTCGCAAGGGTCCATGTTCTCAGGTGATGCCTCTTGTCCTCGTGAGAAGGTCTTTGGTCTGAGATGAGAGTGTTTTGTGAGCTCTGGAAGATGGGCGGTGTTTTTAAAGCCTTCTGGGAACAACAGGACAGGGTGCAAACTGCGCCTGTCACGCTGCACGCGGGCACGTAGTAGATGATTACAAAGACGTTTGTGCACACGACTTCATGATGAGGCATTCAGAGCAGGAGGAATGTCTCTGCTCCCGAGACCAATAGGAGTTGGCGTTTTGTGTGCACCTAACAAAAATACTCCTCCCCCCTTGAAACACTAATTAATGTGTTTACACTTTATACACGGAGAAAAACATGACCCTTTCACGCATAGAGGCTACTACAGCGGACAGCTTTTCAAAAGGTGTTTTCTTATACATGGGGTTTGATGGCATAGTTGCACCATCAGCCACCCACACGCTGCCACTCAGTGGAAAGTCAGTGTAAGTGCATGATAAATGTCTCTAAACCAAGATGCACGAGAGAAAGCCAGATGGACCAAGTCACCTGCCGATATCCTGCCAATCCTTTCATGGAAAGCGCTCCCTGTATAAAACATTAGGTGACATCAAGTAACAACTAAGGAATCATATCATTCATACATTCTCAAAGCATTGATTTTATGTTTGCAGGAAATCATGATTATTCGCCTGTCCACTAAAGTGGACGTGATGCATCACTGGCTATATTTCAACTAAAATGCATACTGTTACTGCTACTGTTCTTCTTCAAAATTCTTCATTTGCAATATCTTTTTGGGCCTTAAATCATAGGCTACTTAAGTTATTGTAATGTATTTTTAAATTTACACATCTTTATCATTTTTTCCAAATGTACAAGTTTTCAGTTTAGACTTTAACGCATAGCCTACTATCCACCTGAGTGGACATATAAAACATATTTTTTCTAAATTTGAAAAAACTAGATAAAAATAAACTAATCTTGTTTTTCATGCCCCAAGAGCAATACAATACACTAGTGACACAGGTTAAAATAGTTCACTAGTAGTAATATTTCCTCTTGAGTGAGACCTTGGGACTCTTATAACAAATTTGTCTAAATTACCAGTAAAGTGAAGAATTAAGCACCGTATTTGGAGGATATGTAAATGTGTAGATATTATTACGATACATAGGCACATAAGCCAACTGTATCTATCATGTGCTTAGATTGCGCACGGATTTACGACGAATGCTTACTCGACATGCTTTCACGGGTGCAAAAAAAGATTAAAGTTAAATTAATTTAGTTTTTTAGGAAACATTTGGTTTCGAAAAAGAGGTATGGATAAGCTACCATCAAATGCATCCTGAATGCCAAAAGCATAATAGTAGCCTACGTGTTGTTTTTAAATTTATTTATTATAAATAAATCGTTTTTTAACATGACATAGCCTATGCTTAGTTTTTGAAAGGGTTATTTGTTTGTCACTTTGTGTATTGCACATGATTTTGTAAAACATTTTTCATTCATATTTTAACCGTATTATAATTCCCTTCTTTTATTCTGAAGGTCAGTTGTATTTTAGGAGACCTTGCCTAAAAAACAAAAACAAAGGCTATCGTAAATATATAAGCTACATTGCATATGCCTTTACAATCAAATAACATTCAACTGTTGTTAATTGACCATGTGATCCGTATGGGTTCCGGAATTGTATAATTATAAACACATAAACACATTGGTCTTAAAGTCTGGTTATTTCTCGACAGTAAAACATGTCAAGTCATAGTGACTTTGTTTTAACTATTCAAGATGAACATTGCATGCGTGTAGTTTCGGTCCAGTTGTTTCCTTCACCAAAAGGCATGTTCTGTAATGTTCCTCGGTGTTTTAGGGTCCGTGTCTGCACACGGCAAAAACAAACTGCCAAACGCGCCCCCTCCCGCTGCTCTGCACCCGGCTGCTTCAACAAGCCCTCGTTAGCAAACCAAAGTAAATAAACCATTGTAATATGCTGCCTTTACGTACGATGTGCTGTAGGATAAATCTTATTCACGATAGCACATGACATGCAAGTTGTGGCTTGATACTACAGAGACTACAGCCTACAAACCAGACAGCAACGTTTCAGCAGTAGCCCAGTTATGGCTGTATGAAAATGATGTTTGTTTGTCACGTTTAGCTAGTACACATTCAACAGGTGGTTGTCTTTTTACCTTCACTGTGCTAGGATGTAGGATTTTGTGGTGGGGTCTTGAAGGCAGCATTGTCCTTCTTTTTTTTTGCGCTCGCCACTTTCCGGCTTGGGGTTTTTCCACACAGGTTATTGCTAAACATGTCGTAACTTGTGCGCAAGGAGAATAGACCGTTCATGGTAATGAGCTGACTAATGGGAAGGGACCGAAATAAATGATTTAGAGCTGAGTGCAACTTTTTTCCCCAACTACAGTAATTACAAGACATACATCACAGTCCACAGGAGTAAATACACAGCAAAGGTATAAACATTTTTATAGTATTATTTGTTTACTCAAACCAAGAGGTCGGAGAGGTACTGAGATCTTATAATTGAGTAAAAGTAGAATTACGAAAGTGTAGAAATACTGTCTATGTTACAAGTAAAAGTCCTGCATTCAAAATGTTACAAGTAAAAGTACTAAAGTATGAGCATCAACATATAGCCTACTTAAAGTACCAAAAGTAAAAGTACTTAGGCCTATTATGCAAATAAGTCAATTTCAGAATAATATATATGATATGTTTTGATTATAATTATTGATGCATTAAAGTGTTATCAAAGCTGGTAAAGGTGCAGCTAGTTTGAAGGACTTTGTAAACTGCAGGGTAAATTGTGAATTTACTCCAGGTGTAACTAAAGTCTTTAAGTGTTATATTATATTTTTAATAATTAATCAAAATCTGTAAAGTAAATTAAGGTGCAAAATAAAAGTATTGGAGTAAAGTATACGATGATTGAACATCATCGAGTCTTGATTCCTTATATGGTACAATAATATAAAGGTTCTGGCTTTCAAGAAAGTGATCATGTAGCCTATCATTCATGTTGTGTCTATGAATCCTATGTCACTGATTGTAGAGCGTGCACACTGCACAGAGAGGTGCTGTTGCTTCCAGAGAACTCTAGAGGGAAACGTTTACACATTATTAGACAATAAGAGTGTTCCTTGTGCAACAGTTTTGAAACTTGATATTTGAACCATTGGTATTTCAGGTACCCATACAAAAAAAGTTAATCTACATTTGACCTTGCATTGTAACATCTGCAGAAAAAACATATACGCAACAGCTAGGCTATGAATGAATAATTTATCAATTAGAAATTATTGAATGGAAAAGTGTAGGATGCCAAAAGCATGTGCAAGCAAGGCATGCTGCACTTTGTTTGCATAAATTGTAAACTATGTTGTTTTCTTTCTTGCTCTGACAGTGTATACATTTGTATTCTAAAGATTGGAAGTTGTGAAATATACGGATCCTCAACAAGACAGATCTAATGTACAATCATTAGGAGGGAAATATTTTTCTTGGTCCTGATCAAACTCTTCATTCTTACGTGTTGGATGATGAACGTGCACGTGTGTATGTAAAGGGCATGGGTAATTTGATCCATAACTACCATAGCTGACCCTGAATGACATGCTCAAAACCCTTACAAGCTATTTTACCTTGCATTAAAACAGACCAAAAAAAGGCATTTCAAGGTTTATTTGCTGTAATGCCATAAAGTCATCAGATGATTTCACTTGTCTCATTTGATCTATTATAACATAATAAACATGTAATTCATTTGTATTATTATAAGGACATTCAGTTTCTTGTAATCACAATTTACAATTCCTAATATTGAAATAAGAAAATAATTAAAAAGTAATCATTTTAGAAAGATGATGCCACTCAAACTAAAAAAAGCACAGATCTGACTGGAAGAAGTCCTGCTGTCACTGAGCTCCTTGCTATTTGCTGAGCAGGCTGGCTCTTATTCCACAGACCGCATGCGTCTCTCTCGAACACCCCCAAGCCTCCTGACGCAATCAATCGTTTTTTCTTTGAATGCATGTTAAATCAGGCAGTGGTCCATATGCCACTAAACAATTTACTTCACTTGCCTTCAGTCACAAATGATATGCTGTGTAAGGAAGGAGGATTAGTCCGTTTGATAGGAGGCTGCACACACTTTTTGACGTCCTAAAGCAGGTCAGTTCAGCAGCAATATTATACGATGGATTCTTTGAAAGGCCAGGCATGATACTCTTTGAAAGCATCAAACAGCTTTTGGGAATTTCCTGCAAACACAGGGTTAAAAACTGAAATAATTTGAGTTATTAGTTATTAAGACATGAGTGAATTAGTTAGAATGTCTGACACATTTTGTATCGAGTTAATTGTTTCTCATATATCCTTATGTTTGAATATGGAAATGAGACATGATCTAATGCTAATTTGGATGAATTTAGGGGAAATCTACAGACACAAATAGACAAAGGTATTAAAATTAACATCTCAATGTGTATTTTAGGATACTTTCTTTGCCTTCAGTGTCTCGCCTTAATTAAATCAGATATAGTCCCTCGAAAAAGGTAAAAAAGGTCAAGCTAAGATATTGCTAGAATGACATCACTTCACTTGCAAGCAGATTAATATGTACAGCTTATCTTTGGTTGTATGGTAGACTGATTCCAGAACAGAGGTGTGAGTGAATCACTGTTAAATAGTCTGATTGGGTGTGAGGGTCATTAATCATGTTAAACAGAGCACATCATGCAGCTTTTGATAACCCCAGAAACTAGCAGTGCAAAGAGATGGAGTCCAGTTAACAAGGAAATTATTCTAAAAAATAGCCAACAGTTGTATTAAAAGATTGTTTCAAGATGTTATGGCATGAGTATGAGTATATATGACTAGCCATTTATACAGGTATGATGCTTTTGTTTCACTGTCCTAACTATCCCTGTGTTTTTACCTGCGGCTCTGTTTGCTGCAGGTAAGTCTTAGTAGAAGGCATTTAGAAATAATGTATAAATGTAAAGCTCTGCCATGTAAAGCATGGACAGTATCCACAGTGTGGTAAAATATCATTTGAGTTTTAACTGGTTTTCACGTGTGTCTTCTCAAAGAAACTGACTGATAATATTTAACACAAACATTTATTAATACTACGTTTTTGACATATTTGTATCCAGTTATGTCCCCTCATAAGTTCATGAGGGGACATAATGTATAATGTAACTATTTCACACACATCTTTAGTCAGCTGCGTCATGGTTTAAATGTTGCTCTTTTCGCAGATTGTGCAATGGATCATGTGCTTAACATTGCTGACAGCTCCATCTTCACTCCGTATGTTTACCCGGCCTCGTGGTCGGAGGAGGGGGCCCTGCGTCAGATAGTCAGCCTGTGGCTGGTGACCAACCTGGGAGCGGTGCTGCTCTTCCTGGGCTGTGGTGCTCTCAACTTCTACTACGTGTTTGACCATAAACTCATGATGCATCCACTGTTTCTCAAGGTGGGTTGTTTGTTTAACCTTTTGACCTGGTTTACAAATGTTCCCTAGGAAACCAAATCGATGTGTCAAAAACTGCCATACAATAAGCCCTCTTATATATTTATGTGCCACTTCACTTTGAAAATAAAACGAAACCCTACATTTTAATTACTTTCTTTTTTACTAATCTAAGGAGGACTTTTTTTTCACAGTCCAAGATTTGTCAATAGTTAACATCATGGATTTTGATACATTTCATGAAGCACACAATACAGCAGCAATGACCAAATTGATGCCAGGACAATCGCATCTGGGCAAACATGATCAAATGGCAAAATCTTTTGGAAAATACAAATGTCAATGTTGAAGCCATGACTCTAAATTAACAGCCTTATATAATAAAATGTGTGATGTAAAGAAAGATGTATTATTGCAGACCTGGTGACAATTCAAAGCAAACTTCTCCCAAACCTTAACTTTGTCTATCTGATCCAACAACAGAACCAGGTAAAACAAGAGATTGAACTATCAATCATCTCAATTTTCTGGATGAGCTTCCCAACAGTGGCCATTTTCTTCTGGGAGGTCCAGGGAAACAGCAAACTTTTCGACAACATCAGCGAATCTTCTCTGGGTAAGACAACCGTTAAAAACCAGGCTGGAACCTTAGGTGAAATTAAAGGTTATCTAATTATAGTCACTAATGGAATATTACTTCTTTGTTGCAATAGGTCATACATAATGATTCCTAATGAGACTTATTAGCCATTGGTTTGTTTCTTTCTCAGGCTGGCCCGGGGTGTTCCTGAGCATTGCTGGTTTCTTGTTCTTTACTGACATGTGCATCTACTGGATACACCGCTTCCTGCACCATAAGAGCACTTACAAGGTGAGCCTTAGCATGTTAATCGCTGGTTCGTAGCAACTCTAAACTATATATTTATATAAACATTTATTAAATGAGTGTATATGAAACAGGTCAGTTGTTGTGATGGACCCACTGAGATTTAACATCTAACAGCTCTACCAAACATTTGAGCATTTCAGCTTGTTTTGTTTTTAAAACAATGTTTAAGTTGAGTCTCACAGCTCTCGTCATCTGTTCTCCTCAGTGAGCTGCTGTTTTCAGACCTGATAAACCTGCAGGTCCGCTGCAACTCCAGGCTGAAGACCTTTCTTTTTGCTACTGCTTTTAATTGGACTATTGATATTTCACATTGTAACTTGTAATAATGTATTTTATACCTGTGTTATTCTATATTAGCTTGTTTTATGTTTATTTTATTCTCTTTCCTTTTTAATGTTAGTTTTAAATGCAATTTTAAAATGTGTTTCCGCCTCACTACTTTAATGTTTCCATCCGGAATCACCATGCTTTCTAATTTCACCACTTTATGTACCTTGGGAGCCGAGCCTGATATGTGTTATTTCTGACTGAAACATTCCTGTTATTCAGACTGTGTTTCTCCCCCCTCAGCATTTACATAAGCAGCACCACATATTTAAGATCCCTACGCCTTTTGCCAGCCATGCCTTCCACCCGCTGGACGGCTTCCTGCAGAGCCTTCCCTATCACATCTACCCGTTCATCTTCCCCCTCCACAAGGTGCTGATCTAATGAGGACTACAAGTTAAACTGCATATTTCACAGTCATGTTTGTGAGATTTGCTGGAGATGTAGCATATGAATTTTGTGAATTGGGTAACATTTATATTTTTGCCCAAGACTTGAATGAACTGTAAAACGTTTTAAGTGACATTTGGGACTTTCTGAATTACAGGCGGTCTATCTGTCACTTTTCGTCTTTGTCAACATCTGGACCATTTCCATACACGATGGAGACTACCGCATCCCCGGCCCCCTGATATGTCTGATCAATGGTGCTGCTCACCACGTAGACCATCATCTCTTCTTCAACTACAACTACGGACAGTACTTCACGCTCTGGGATCGTATCGGGGGCTCCTACAGAAACCCCTCAGCCCTGATGGGGAAGGGGCCACAGGACCACATTGCACACACACAGTGAAGATCCAGATATCAATTTGTCACTCTAACGCTTAGGAAAGAGACAATTGAATCAGATGCAAATAACTCAAACTAAGTGAGTTGGTAAGTAAGTTGTTAAAATATGAATAAAACATAATTATGGGGAAATATGTTTTTGTAAAAGATAATGGTGACATGCCAGTTGGCTGGAAATAACACTATACTGCATTGAATAAAAACCAGCAAAGTAAAGGCATACTTAATTTGTATGTGTTAGGGTTTTAACCAAGCTCTTGTTGCGATCTCTGATTTGAGAATCCCAACTTCATAAAATCAGGGCAATGTTTCTTTGTAATAGGATTGATGGACGCTTTTTTTTACTAATCGAACACAGTCTGTGTGTTTGTCCACCACTGTCCTCACTTTCCAGATTCAACCGCAAATGACAAAAAACTCAACAGATGACAGTGGCAAGGCAATTGTGTGACCCTTTTCCATTTATGCTATTACAATTTATTTATGAAGAATGGATAACAATGCAAACATACATTTTGCCTCATCCCTGCTTAGCTGGAACTTGTTGTATATACTTCAGTAAAAATGCAAACAGATGGTGAATTGCATGGGTCTGAATCCAGTGTCCACCTGCATGTATGTTTATGTCCCACAGTCTGATTCCACATTAGACTTTCAGTTGCCAGTGCTCGGTGTGTTTTCGTGCAGGCTCTGCAGGGCGAGGTCTGTCCACTTCATCTCTTGCTCTTTCACAGACTCAGTGGAACCTCCATTGTCCTGCTCAGCCTCAGGCAATTCACTCTGACAGAGAACAGGGCAGACAGGATGCCATGAATAAAAGGAGCAATTCACTCTATACTTAAATCAACATTGTAATAGTGTCAAGACGAAATCGGAATATTTGAGGGGAAGCAAAAATAATTATAAAATTTAAACAGACTATATAAGATGCTGTTGCTAACATGAATGTGTTTGTAATACCAGAGGGATGGTGACATCTTCATACGGCAGCTTATCTTCCCTCCAGGCATCATCAGTGAGGTCCAGGACTCTCCCATCTCGTTGGATTTCACTGTCCATCTTCCGAGCAGGGCCCTGTTCAAACTCTCAGAATGCCTCCTCTGACAGAGTTAGTTAGCTTCAAGGTAACTGCAACACTGAACACACTGCTGCAGAATGTGCAGATACCTGCTTCACTGCTACTAGTTAACATCCAAACAACCATAAATGGTCAGAAATACATGGTAAACAATGTATTCGAAAAGTATGTGGTTCCAGTTTGTAGTTTTCAGAAGGTTTTTATTTACTTCTAACCGCTTCACCAATGCATATCAGAAGTAGTGCGGTAATTGTAATTATACGTAAACATCCGGCGCCTGGTGATGATGTCGATTAATGACGCCTTCAAGTACTGGAGAAAATTGGAAACTACTGTATGCGTTACACATAGATACATTCTACATATTCTTCTCACAATCCATTAAAAATACAATTACGAACGACAACAAAATCCACGACAACAACAATAATGTGTAATGACGGTTTTATGCCAGTGTACAAAAGGCTCCACAGAAATAAAACGCCTCCTGTTTCCAACGAATATAAACGGCCATCCCACGTATTGTTTTGCGGTCCCCTTGGTAACCAGATTACTCTTCTTTGAGCTGTGTTCCTGTGAAAAAGACGTCCCATTCCTTGTCTCTGGTTTACTGCAATTGAAGGTAACTTTATTTAATTGATAACAATTGTACTACATGCAACAATAAGCTTAGTTAATTAAGGGTATTTTAGCATCTTGCCATGGAGATATCCCTACAGTGTTGTTCGGTGTGACCAAGTTTTTTCTTTTGAAGTATATGGGACTACTTTATTTATTTCTACTCGTTCAGTGTTAAAGACTCAACAAATCCATCTATATCTATACAGATGTAGGTTATTTCAAGCGAAATGAGAGAGCACCTCAGTTTTTCAGAGCCCTGCTAGTTTTAGACATTCATTCAGAATGAGCTTGTTTTTTTTGCATCATCATGTACTAAGGCTGTGTTTTTTTTAAAATTCTGATGTACATTTCTTATTACAGGCACTGCAATGATGTCAGCTTCTCAAGAAAAGCAGGTGGAAAATACAGAGCAGTGTGCCAATCCTGGAAACCCAGTTTTCTCCTGCATGTTGACTTCAGAAATGAAAGGAAGACACCTAGCGCTGTGGTCCAAGACCCAGAACCCACTGTACAGGACAACTTCCAGTGACTATGGTCTTCGCACTCAAACCTCTGGAACCTCGCGCCGTGCTTTCTACCCTAAATCACAAAAATTCACTGAGGAAATTAGAAAGACTGGGCTGTTTCGTGACAACTCTCTCAATACTGCTCTTGACCGAAGCAAGGTGTATGACTGTCCCGATTTACAGAACACCATCTAAATGCATGATTGACTGTCAATTCAGCTGTGTTCTCTTATTCATGAGAATTTTAGAATAAATCACTATGTAAATGGGAAATGAAAGCCTAAGCAATTTATTAACACACAGCTATCTTTCTCTTTTCGTTGAATCCTGTAGAGAAAATATTTATGTCTGACAATCACCTACATCTTAAACAGGTGATATTAAAGCAGTTAATAGTTAAGCCCTGACTGTACATGTCACATATTTGTAACACTACATCTTGCTTTAATTTACCCAAATGACCAACAAGCTGATTCTCCAAGGTTTTTTTTAAATAATGCAAATGTACAAATGCAATCTTTCCATCCTCATATTGCCTGGCATATCTTTATAAATAAATAAATGATAACAGGGTGTTCTTACGTTGAATGCTTGACTATATATACACAAATAATAAAATCCAACATTGGTATGTAACAGCAATGCCTTACAAAATGATATTTATCTTGCAATGGAGCTTGTTCTTTTTCTATAAGCTACTTAAAAATACATGATGTTAGTTTTGCTTTCCTCTACTTCAGTCCTTGTAGTGTCTGATGATTGCGTTCACGTACACTGGGAACATTTGCCCTCGCAATGTCTGGTAGCCATTTATTCGCTTTCATCTCATTTCTGGTTTTGTTGGAATTTTCTTTCATATATTATTCAAACATTGAAGTAAAGCTCTCATTTCAAGGGTTTACATTTTTACTGTAGTCTAATATAATTACTGTAGGCTATGCAGCTTTTTTTCTCAAGTCAAAATATTGTAATAACTTGTTGCTTTAATGCTTGATTCCCGCCATATTTTTTCTGTCATCAAACAATATTATAATTTAAATATCATACACAAGATATTTCAGTAGGTTTCAAATACATCGTTGGTCAAGAAAGAAACACAGATTTTTGTATTTAACACAAAGGGGTCTTTACTGTATGTTGACGTCTGTGTTCCACATAAACCCTCCTCCTACTCCGCCAGCCGCGCCTCCGCAGCTACAGCTGATGATGGCCAATGCTACGGAACTTAGCAAACAGCTAGCGGTGTAGCGACGTTAACATGTGTACGACGTGTTACCTGGTCGTCCAATGAGTGTGATATATTAGAGTTCAGTAAAGGAGTGTTAAGGATCATAGACGGGTCATGTTAGGGTTCCCCTGGACTCCACCGGGGTTTGAGTATCGCGTGTAGCTCAATGCTAACCAGGTTAGCTTGCTTATGTAGTTTGACAGTAGGATCAGAGGAGTGTCCAACTAACCGGGCTAACAGCTAGCTGCTTAGCTACAACACAACGTAGCTACTAGTTAGCTGTCTGTTTTGTAAACTATCTGGCCTTGCTCGACTGTGTGTATATGCTGCTGTTTTTCAACAACTCATAACGTAAGTATACGCTTGGATTGAAATGTAATCAGTATAGGTTACTACAAATTAATAAGGGGAGTTGGTGAGACTTGGTTTTTATGTGGAACTGCTATCTAATGCTACATGTTAATGCCTGTTTTGATGGGTGGCTAGCTTGCGAGTTAGGTAACTTAAACTATATGTGTATAATAATATAACGTCCCAGTGATTTAGTACATGACGATCTCATAACTGATATACTGAGGCTATGTGCTAAAGCAGCACAGCTATTTAAATACTAGACATCGGTCGGCCACTGTGCAATAAATAAACAGCAACATGGACAAATGCTGATTTGGTTTCACTTTATTTTTTATATTATTGTATTTCTTTCAGGCTTGACATTTATCTCGTGGGGTATGTAACCTCAGCTAGTTTAAGGCTTAAAAAGGTTATCAGCTGTTAAACAGTTGAATAAACAGCTCTCACAGACTAAAGTTGGGGGGTGAATTTCACTTTTTCTCTTTTCTGTTTCCACAGCCATTCCAGCCCTGGATCAGAACTGGACCTGAGCCTTGGCTGTATATGATGTTCAGAACTTTTTTTTTGTTGCATCACCTGTACCTTACTGCTCCATTTACCTGGCATTATAATCACAAACCAATCACACATCTCTGCTTGGCAACAGTATGATTGCTCATGCTGACCCCACCCAGCCTTCTGGGACAAGAATATCCCAAAATCAAGCTCTCCAAATGATATGATAGTAGCCACCTGGATCACTTTTTATGCTTGCAGGAGCCTCGCACAGGTTCTGCTCTTCCTTTCCTCCTCCAACTGCCTTTGTCCATTCAGGGAGACCCTTGCGAGTGTGGTCTCCGGCACTGGAACCATGGGTAACAGCTGTGTGTGCCGGGAGGATAGTGACCTGGAAGATCATCACCATGGCTCGTCAAGGGCAACCCGAGGACAGGCTAGGCGGGTGGACCACGGTACCGGCGGGGGTGTTGATGCCGGAGAAGTGAGGAGCAGCAGACCCAGGGACCCCGTCAGGCCTCCACGCAGAGGGCGAGGGCCCCATGAACCAAGACGGAAGAAGCAGAATGTGGATGGTCTGGTGCTGGACACACTGGCTGTCATCAGGACACTGGTAGACAAGTAAGTCTCATGAGAGTAATGATATTGATAAAGATGAAATAGAGTCAGTTGTCTGTACAGTTTCAAATCGTTTTTCTATAAATTTGACTTTGATGTCTGTTGGGAATTCAGCCATGTGAAATACTACTATCGTCATTTTGGTTTTGAAAATGTAAGTACTTAAAGTTGTCGCAATTAGATGTGGATTAGGGATTGGAAGACTGAAACACTTTAACTTGAATAGTGCTCCAAGCAGCAGGTATTTGGAATTTTACCTGTGGCTTCAAATAGTTAGAACTCCTTAGAGAGGACTTTGAGTCATTGTTCTTTTCACAATGTTTCCTTCCTTGTAGTGTAGTGATAACCTGCTGCAATGATTAAGCAAGATTTGTATTTACTGTGATGATGCTGCTGGAGTACTTTCTTCCTCCCTTTCCACTGAGCTATTAGCCGTTTTCTTTTTAATAGAAATGCAGTTCAGCATGAACCTTTCTGGTGTTGATTAATTTCCTCTTCATGAATCTGGCCAACAAAGCATCTCTTATGTTATGGGGTCTTTTTATCACTTTTAAATAATGTTGAATTATGTCCAGAGGGCCTTTGTCACAAGGCTGTGCAGCCCCATGTTCCTCCCTACATGAATGCTTTTTTGAGGACAACGATCCAATTTCCAAACTCTTGTCACATGACTGTTCATAAATTCAAGTTTATAGTTAAACGTACCAGGCCGCTTCTTGAAAGAAAAATTAAGCTTCAGTATTAAGTTATGGCTTTCAAAATGAAACCAGACCTCAGCTTGTAATGGGGCATGAAATGCAACAGTAATGGCGGCGTCATCTAAAAACTGCGTCCATGGAGATAAATCATTTATGCTTGCCTTGACCTGCCCATGGGATACCATGTCTGTTCACAGCCATTGCTGCAATCACAGAAACAAACAAAGGCGTTCATCATCATTATTACTCACATGCAGTGATCACAGTGTCATCATTATGCACTCTCTGGTTGAATTCTCTACAGAGAAACCCTACTTCTGTGTATGCACATAAATGAAGCCATAAATCACAAAAAATAGAGCAGAGTAGAGCTGAACAATTCTAGAAACTATATAAAATGGCGATGATTTTGGGTCTCATTTCGATAGGATTAAGCCGATATTATGGCTTCGGGAAAATTGTGTTCAATTGAGGAGAGTTTATTATGTATAGCGCTCAAATAAGTGAGTAACCAGTTGTCAATAAATGATGCTCTTGTTCTTTTTCCAGTGACCAAGAGCCCCCTTACTCCATGATCACTTTGCACGAGATGGCAGAGACGGGTAAGGATGAAAATGAAGCACTCACATTCACACACTGGGCAGAGAGCACTTCGTCCAGTTAATAAAAACAAAAAGTAAACAATATACAAAAAATGTGACAGGATGTGATAAAAAAGCACTCTTCTTTAGTTTTGAAAGGATCAGAGGTTGTACCACAGGAAACGCAGTCTTGTCAGAAAAAGTGAATTGAAGGTGGCTGATGTTGTTGTCTCATCATGACTAAACCATTTCTTCGGTAGTGATATGCACAATCCTTCCGACATAGTTTCCTCAGGTTAAAATGAAAGTATCCACTGTACCTGTCCATATCTGATGTTAAACTATTCCGGAGATGCGTCATTTAGAATGACTGATAAGCAGTCCTAGGAATTTAAACAGTTCCCTTCAGAATATGCTGTCCCATCCCCCTGGGGATGTTTTTGAGAATTGCTGAGGTAGTGATATAACAGCTTTGTAAGCAGCAGACAGTCGCGCTCCTCTTTTCAGTGACGGTTTCTCCTAGCCTCTTTGACGCTTAATTCAAACCACCAGATAGTATGTCACAAACTGAGGTAAAGATAATATTGAGAATATTATCAACATATCCCACATGTGTTAATATGAAAAGGCTATAATCGTTATAAGGCCTAATTCAGAACATCCACAGACCTCATTTGCTGTTGACACACTGTATCGAATTCCCAATGTTGTCATATTTACAGTGGAAAATGGTTCGGTTGCTGTTTGTGTTGGTTTGAATGACAGGTTTAATTCTTATTCTGGTTTGGGTTTAAACTTTAGTGGATGTTTGTGTGTGTTTTTGGTCTGTTGTGTTTGTGCTTTTCTCATGGCACATGATGCTCTCATGCGCTGTGTGTTTGTTTGTATTCAGTAGCCTATGAATTCTTGAGTTTGCACATATGGTGTTTGATGCTCACAAGGCGTGGTGTTGTGTGCTTTGACAACAGCCATGTCGGATATGAGCTTGCAGATACTGAACCCTAAAGGCAGCCAAGCAGAAAGCCAGTCACTTTCTGTTTGACATGTGCCATGATGTTACATTATTCATCAGGCCGTTCACTGCGGCTTTCAGAAGGGATGGTGGTAGAGAGAGACTCTTACTGAGTCATCTAATGGACAGGAAATGAATGTTTCAGTAATTATGGTGCATCTCCTATTCCGGTCTGTCTTGCACACAAAGGGATATCCTTCTAATTATTTTTAGTAAACTGGATAATGGGACTAATGTTGGAAACGCCTGTGTGTGCTCTAAGTGTGTATTATATTTCAAACAAGGAGGAATGTCCAATCTGTTAAGTCTTAAACCAACCTCTTTGTCTCCTATCCCACAGATGATGGTTGGCTGGAAGTTGTCCAGTCTCTGATTCGAGTGATCCCATTGGACGACCCGCTTGGCCCTGCAGTGATAACCCTTCTGTTGGATGAATGCCCCCTGCCCACCAAGGTTAGTGTCTTATAGACATTTGAGGTAATAACTTTGTAAGGCATGGTTTCTTTAAAATAGGCCAAGTTACACCATCTATCAACAGACATTACCTTCAGATTTCAATCAGTCCTTAAAGGGTCAAACTAAATCACTTTATTCTACTCGTTTAAAGTGTAGACTAAAATACTGTAAACCGTGTGCGCTAACCAGATCCTGAACATAAAACTGTGAACTCCTCAGCACATGAAGCCTTGAATGACTTGGCTCACACCAAAAGCTTTGTGGCAAAATTAAAGTGAAACTTCAACTGAACTGCCGACAAGAGAGGTTGGAAAAATATAAATAGTAAAATATTTAAAGCATGTTGGGCACTTCCTCTTTCCCATGATTCTTTCTTAAATTGCTGATTGTTCGTACTGTGCATCCGGAAAGTATTCATACCCCTTCACTTTTTCCACATTTTGTTATGTTACAGCCTTATTTCACAATGGATTAAATTCATTTTTTCCCTCAACATTCTACACACAATACCCTATAATGACAAAGTGAAAAACGTTTTAAAATATAATGTAATTTTGTAAATGAATTAAAAACAAAACGCTCAAATATCACATAAACATAAGTATTCACACCCTTTACTCAATACTTTGTTGGAGCACATTTGGCAGCAATTACAGCCTTAAGTCTTCTTGAGTATGATGCTACAAGCTTGGCAGACCTATCTTTGGGCAGTTTCTCCCATTCTTCTTTGCAGATCGTTTCAGGCTCCNACACAATACCCTATAATGACAAAGTGAAAAAAGTTTTAAAAGAATATTTACAAATTAATTAAAAACAAAACACTCAAATATCACATGTGCATAAGTATTCACACCCTTTACTCAATACTTTGTTGGAGCACATTTGGCAGCACTTACAGCCTCAAGTCTTCTTGAGTATGATGCTACAAGCTTGGCAGACCTATCTTTGGGCAGTTTCTCCCATTCTGAGTCTGAGGTCCAGTGTGCTCTTGAGTAGGTTTTCATTAAGGATCTCTCTGTAC